AGAAGAGAAAGTTCAGGAAAGAGCTGGTAGTGTCCTTCCAATATTTAAAGGGAGCTTATAAACAGAAGGGAGATCAGTTTTTACAAGGGTAGATAGTAATAGTTCAAAGGGGAATGGTTTTAAACTAAAAAGAGGGAGATTTAGATTAGGTGTTGGGGGAACTTTTAACTGAGGGTGATGAGGTGCTGACACAGGCTGCCCATGGAGGTTGTGTGTGCCCCATCTCTGGAGGTGTCCAAGGACAGGTTTTATGGGGCCCTTGGGCAACATGATCCACTGCCTTATTTAGTGGTTGGCAACACTGCCCAAGGTAGGGGGTTGGAATTAAACTTTTTGGTCTCTTCCAACCCAAGCCATTCTATGATTCTATCAAGCAGCAGGGCTCAGTTGAATGCAGCACTGCCAGGTTCTGAGCTGTCAGTGTGCAGCTGGAAGGATTCCAGTCACACCCCACTTCTCCTTTCTCACCTGTTCTTTCCCCAGTCTCCAGGCTGCAGCAAGGAAAACGGGCCATGGGCAGAAACAAGTCTACCTGTAGAGCTCTTGGCTTGGCCTTTTTCAGGCAGCTTTTATCTTTCCTTTAAATTCCTGACTGTGGTGTGCCAGAGCAACAGCCAAATGTTAAAGACATTACAGAGCAAACAGTCTGCAGGCTGCACCAGCCTGCAAATACAGAGGGAAATGAGCAGTAATGTTGGGAGAAAGGAGAAGAGGTGATTATCCAGTGGTGATTGTTTGGGAGGGCAATAGTGGGAGGTGCTGTAAGTGGTGGGGATGCATGGTGAGACACAAGCCACCAAAGGCACAGCCATTACAATCAATTAAAGTACAAAAATAGGAGGCTGAAGTGACAATAATGTATTTTAACTGAAATCACAGATTTTGTTCTGCAAGGCATGGTTAAAGAGACCAGGCCAAATTACATTATCTGAACAGAGCAAAAGTTTTCCTCTTTTATGTAAAAAATTGACTTTTTTTTTTTTAAAGATAAAAATGGAGCAGAATGTTTTTTAAATAATTCTGAAATCCCATTAATACATATTTTTTTTTCTATTTTAATGTTCTTTTTCCTTTAATTGGGCACACTGTAAATGGAATTTAATACATTAGTGATGTTTTTAATCTGATTTGAATTGAGCCTAGGGCCGGCGCATGGAATCTGCATCTGTCCCATTGAAAGAAAAATACAGTTGTATAGACAATAAATAGCGTGTCCAACCAAACATTGATCTATGCATTCGTTTTATTTATTGAGCTAACCAGCTTATGCATGGGCACTGGGAGGATGTTTTTAGGCACTTTTCCAAAGCTGAAGTCCATATGATGGGATTGTTACTGTTTTGTTGTGGTTATTTTTGCAACAGGAACGTGAACTTGGTAGAAGAGCCTGGCATGGAAAACCACTGAGTTCTGACACATTCCATTTGCTCCTAACTCTTTGATTTCTACTCACAGAATCTGACATATGTTGGGCATTGACCTTGCTCTTTTAAATAAGCTTATTTTAGAAGACCTTTGCAAAATGCTGTCTGTTTGGCCTCGATGTAAGCTGTGAGAGAAATGTAGTACAAACACAGAAGTTGTATGTTTTGAATGCCAGAGATGTTACACCAAAGAGCAGTTGGTGTGATCTATACTGCTGAATGCTTTCTGTGCTGATAGCAAGGCTGTGTCCTTAAAGAAAATAAAGTTGTACTTCCTGCATTGGACAATCTTCCCTTGCTTTCTATGAGTGTTGTTTTGTTTGGTTTTTGCGCAGGACCTTCAGGATCAGGCTTCTTTTTCCAGCCTCAGCTATTCTGACTGGGCTCTCAGACACTCAGTGGAGTGCAAGCAAATATCTCTAATAGTAAGTAAGGATTTGGACTCAGAAACCCTGGAGAGAATCAAGGACTTGTCAGACCTCGGGGTGCAAAATTTGCCCCCATAGATGGCTCCGAATGCTGCAGGCACTCATAAGTGGGAGGGACTTATCCAAAGCTTGGCCCCTTCCTTATGGAACTGTGCACCAAGAGTGTTTCAAGAAGAGCTGTACCTTTCATGGTGGAGATTTACTTTTCTTAGGGGAGCAACTTGTAGGAAAGTTCACAAGGAAAGTGCTGGGATCCTACAAACGCCAGCATGAATTGATATGCAATAAAGCAAATTGTCAGGTCCCAACATGGCAAATCACAGCAAGGGAATGAAAATGCCTCTATTAGATGGGTAGATAAAATGCCTTTCATTAAGGCATGTATCTGCTGAACTCCTACCAACTCCAGGAGTAGGAAAAGCAGAAAGAACCTGGAAGTGCATTTAGGTCTGTTTGATGTTCTCCTTTTGCCAATAGACAAACTCATACACCCTTTACTTGGGCTGTAAGGTTTGGAGCCTGGAAATTCAATCAGCTGGAGAGCATGTCCTGAGAACAGCCTGCTGAGATCAGCCGTATCTGAGTAAGTGGCAATAAAACTCCACGCATAGGAAAACAGATATCAAATTGCCAAAATAAATGTAAATTCGAGTTCACGGTCATGTGTGCCTTTTTAGGCCCAAACATGGCTCCACTTGCAGCGAGGAGAGGTGTCAGAGCTCTGTGAGAATGTGAATACTCATTGCCTATGGGCCATGGATGGCTCTGCGTCCTGGCTTCCTCTCAAAGTGCCTGTCTCCATTGGCTTCACAAACACACAGAGAAGGCATCGAGTCTCGGCTTTGTTGGCACTGGGTTCCAAGGCTGAGAGCACCTGATGTGGAATATTTCCTTGGCAGATGGAGCCAAGAGTAGATTTTTTTACCTCTCTCTGCACACTTGTTTGCTGGTTCTGTGGCAGCGCTGGGAAGCCTCCCTATTACTACAAATAACTAATCTTCAGTGTGAATACAGGGTTCCTGGTCTGACCCATCAAGATTCTGGGGAACTGTATGAGCGCCATGTTGCCGTTGCCAGCCCTGATGGAGCTGTGCCATCAGTCAGCAGGAAGGAAGTGAAGCTGCTCTCACCTCCTGCCACGAGGCTTGCCCCAAATCCACCCTACCCAACATTCACAAGCTTGTTTTCTCAGGGAAATGGCTTTTATTTGTTGCGAACACTCTATAGGGAAAAGCTTCTTACAAAAACTAAATAATGTAACATATTCTGGGTTCTGGGCAGATAAAAATTGAAAGGGCTGTGGTGTTTGTGGCAGTGGAATGATAGTGATGAGCACCACATGGAGTCCCTGAAGATGGTGTCAGGGAATTTGATCCCCCATAAAATGATGAAAGACTCTGATGTAATGGTGTTTTGTGAAACAATTTGAGCATTCTTTCCCATTAACAACTGACTTCCATTGTGCTAGGATTTTTGTTCTTTTTTTAATATGTATTTTGAGCACACTGTGAACAAAAATTTCCATTGTGATAGTGCTGCGGGAAGATTTAAAGGTTGTGGTGGACTAAGAATTGAAATGCAAATCACACTCACACACCACCTCCTGCTGAGGCCCAAATTTTTATAGATCAGGTTCTGCAGCCCTGATGAGGAATCAGCGATCTGCCTTTCTGGGATTCACAAATTAGTTGCAGTCTGGGGTAGCGTTTCCTACAATATAATTGTAACTTAGCAGATGAAAGTTTGTCGCCGAAGGCAGTCCCCTGATCTGCTATTATTTCTCCAGCCGCAGTGCCACTACGGATCCCCTCACAGACAATGCAAACACCTCACAGCTCCCCGCACCACAACACACTCTTGCTGAATACTGTCTATACTGATCCTCTCCCCCTTGCTTTTCTTCTCCCCCGGTTTGCAGGTGGTAAAACATCGGCTGCCATGAACTTCTTGTTGGGGAAAAAAAAAGAAAGAAAAAAAAAAAAAAGGGTGGCAGGGGGAAAGGGAAAAGCTATGTTCTGGGGGCTGCTAGAGTTGCCAGATCACAAGCTGCAGGCTTGCAATGGGGCTGCTGAAATGGCTACAAGGATAACAGGACATACATGGATTTGTGGATAATTCTGTTTGCTAATAATTGCTCACGAAACTTCAGGTAAGGAATATCCAATTCAATTCGTTATCACAGGTAAAGGCCTGGGTTAATGCTTTTCAGGGTGGTTTTTGTTGTTTTGTTTATGGCTGTCATTACAAATACATGGCTTTTCGTGTTTGGAAAGCTCCTTCCCATAGGGATGGGGCAGTACCTGGCAGGTGCCCCCAGATTCCCAGACTCAGGGCAGACCCCCCTTACTCCCCACACTTCTTCCCTTCCTTCCAGCACAGTCTTGGGAGGGCTGTGGTGGGGCAGATACATTCCATTCTGTAACTTTAACCAGTTCTACTGCTTGCTACTAATTATCTACTAGCTAATACTAATAGCTAGCACCACTGCAGCATTTAAGAGCTACATATACATTAATGAGAATTAGCATTTGTTGACAGCCATGGTGGGAGTTGCCTGTCTTAAGCATTTCAGGGGTCCCTGTTGCTGTAATGTTTGATTGCCTCCTTTGGTAATTATAATTGACACTGAGCAAGTTTTTCATAGGTCTCATTTGACTGCACAGAGCTGAAGATATGTGGAGCTCTGTCTGTGTGGGAAGAGGAGAAGCAAGGCCAAAACAAGGTGCTGCTTGGGAGCATCCCCCTTGCCCCACATGGAGCAAGGGCACTGGGCACAGGGAGGGACCATGGGGTCTCGCTGGGCTGGGGCTCCATTCCCCATCCCCATGGGTCTTGCTGGGCTGGGGCTCCATTCTCCAACATGTAGAGGAGCAGCTGCTGTGATCCCCACCCCGAGGAAGATGAGATACAGAAGCATAGAAAGGGCTTTTTTATAGCCAGGGGGCCAGCAGGGGAAGCAGTGGTCACAAGCAGAGGTTGGAAACTGGCTTATTAAGTAAATCTCAGGCTGTGACTGGTTTTAATTTATTTCTTGTTTTATGTGCAAGGGACAGGGCCTCGCAGGCCTGGCTAGTATCAAAGCCTGGGGTTTGTAGGTTTTTAATCAAGGTCCACTTTGGGGGGCTCTACTTTCAGTGGTTGGGGATGTGTGGGGATTTTTTCATGGTGTATTTTTTTTTTTCCTGCTGCAGTGTCTGGATTTCTTTAGTTAAACTTTTCCATTCTTCAAACCTGAGCCAAGTGAGTGCTTACACATTGCCCAGCATTTTCCAGAGAGGGCTTTCTTGGTGGTGGGTTTTTTTTTTGTTGTTTGTTTGTTTCTTTTCTTTTTTTTTTTTGGTGGCTTTTCTTTGTTAGCAAATTTGCAGTCCGGTTTCTCTGAAAATCACAGATGGCATCTACAATACCACCCTGTCGCCTCTCACTAATTTGGCATTCTTAGCGCTGTCTAAATAGTTTATTGTTCATCAAAGCCATATGAAAGGAATTTTATATGATTTTTTTGTTGTTGTTTTGTTTTGTCCCTCTGCTGGCAAGGGAAGTAAATCCCAAAGTATTTCAGCAGGTGCTATTAATATGCAAATAATGGCGAGTACGCCAGGCCTAATAGACCTCCCAACTACAGGGGAGGTGTCGCTGCTGGAGCAAATTAGCTTTCTGTAATTTGCATGCTTTTCACAGCCTCCTGGGATTATATTTTAGATCAGAGACAATAAAAGCATATGCTGTTAGTTTAAAATGTAACTAATTTTAGACTTTGAGACCATTTTAACCTAACTTCTTAGCGATGTTAAACTGTTATTTGCAAAGAAACTTTTTACACAGCTTGTTATTTTCATGGTCTTTCTCTTCCCCCATTAACTGCTCCATTTCTCTTTTCAGGATGAAAGTGAAGAAGGAAATCTTCTGCATGGCTGCATCTCAAAAAGCAGGTATTTTTCATAGAAATAGGCCCAGTTTGTCCTTGCTCTGTTTTGGGTCTGCACCCAGTTCCTGATGGGATCTAGAAGAGCTTTCAGGGTCATACTACTTCCCTCCCCTTGGTCATCTTCATGAGGTATAAATCCATCCCAAAATAACACTGCTGAGCCATACAGGCAGGAAGCTGTTTGGAGCACCATAAAAGCTTCTTGGCTGACCCACCAAGGCAAAGAGACACTGGGTTTCAGTAGTGCAACTGCCCGATGCGTTTGCCTGGCCCGCTCCTACAGAGAGTCCCTCGGTAGTCTGTTTGAATTGAACAAAACCAAAGTAAGGATTTCAGTGCAGATTCGGTCTGTAGATTCAAACATTATTGAGCTGTACTGGCACATTATCAATGGCACTTTCCAAATTGATATTGACAGCAAAAATCATACTGTTGACATCTGTAGTTTGTGAAAAATGGAATGATCGAACATCAGCTGTTGTGCCTGAGAATTTCTGTCTTTATTTCAAGTGCCACAGTGACTGCTTCCTACCCTTGCTCCTCTGTTGCAAGGGACTGCCCAAGTAGGATGTACACAGGGCTGCCACCTGAAATGTCTGCCTGCTCCCCGTGCCCACTTCTGTTCGTTGAGCTTTGCCTTGCAGCACTGTCGCAGTCCCAGCTGCCCCACTTCCTTCTGCTGTGAGGGACTGCAGGAAGAGGCTGGTTAGGGAAACTGCAGGCTTAGCTGATGTACTTCAGCAGCAGACTGCAGTCGGCTAAGGAAGGCTGTGAAAGGTAGAGAGGCAGTTGTTTTACTTTTGTCTTTCTGCCAGTTGTCCCATTGCCCAGAGTGTGTGATTTGTGAGTTTCCTTTGGCATGGCTGCTCCGTTGCTTATATATCTCTGAGCAATGTTTCCAGGTCAGTTGGTCTGCGGGGTGGTGGCCATCTTTTATTTCAAGGGGGATAGAGTTCAGGGGTAGGATCAGATGTGTGGAGGAGATGGCAGCCAGGTGGAGATCACATTAGTGTTGTTAAATTTATTTCTAGCATGGGAAGGGTGAGTGTTAGCGAGAGAGAGCAAGCCTGAAAGATGTCCTTTGAGACAAGGCCAGGAAAGAAAGCCTTGGGATGCAGCTTTGGCTGTAGAGCAATCTGGGCTGAGATTCTTCTGAATTTTTGGGGCCAAATCTTTGCCATTAATATTTCTGTAAGTATATTTCATACATTCGATATATGAAAATACTTCATTTCCTAATTCAAAATGAGAAAAGAAAAAAAAAGTGGGACATGACTTATGCTTAACTTGTTAATAGTGTGAGTTGTGATCGTAAAGAACTGTTCACAGATAACCAATGCACTGAACCCCATGAAAGGGAAATCTCTTCCCAGCACCAAACCCATTGGAGCTTGTGGAATTACAGCAGACTATCATAAAGACCTAGAATTTAACCGTTAATTCCCACTCCCATAGGTGGCTGCACCACTAAACTGTCTGTGACACAAATTATTTTTGTTGTCAACAATAGGGCCCAGAGATTATGTAAGTGAGCTTTAGATGCAGCTTCTTCCACACCAGAATGGATTTGCTCTGCCATGTGCTGCCATATCCCTGGTCCATGCCTGGTGACCCATGGGTCACCCTGCCAGGGCAGCTGAGCCTGGCATCTTGATCGCACTGGAATGAAGGAGGCTACGCTTTCAAATAACTATTTCAGAGGCTATAAGCAAACATTCATGAAGAGAAAAAAGTCCTGGCAGTAACTAGTGAAATCTCATTGAAAATACTGGACACCTTTTTTTTTTTTCCCCTTTCATCTCACCCTAAATGTTGACTAACGTTAAAACCAGCGACCTCTCACTTTTGCTGCTTTTCTCAAGTGGAATGTGATTTGCCTATTATGAATCTGTGCATTGAACCTGGAAGCAGCTGATCTAAGAAAAAGAAAAAAAAATGAAGAAAGACAAAAGGACTCTGGTCACTCAGGTGGCAATACAAAACAAAAAATTACACATCATGCCAGATGGTTGCGTTTGAGAAATGGAGTGTAGTCAGAATTAAGGTGGGGGGGGGGGACACAAGGCAACAGTACATCAGACGTGGAAACATGATCAAAATGTCTTCAGCCTTGTTTCACCAACACTGACACAGGAGAAAACTGCGGTGGGATATGAGCAAAGCATGGAGGGATACTGCCAGGAGAGGGAAAAAAAAAAAAAAAAAAGGCATTTTTCAATAATGAACTGCTTGACTTCTTCCAGCAAAGACTTAGAAGTTTACAAGAATCAAGAGACTTTGTTATTAAATGGAAGGACTGTGAACCAGTAAGCCTCAGAGCATTGTATCAAGCGTCACTGCAAAATGCCACGTGCGACAGGGTAAAGTATTGGTAACAGGCTGTGTCATGGGCTTAGTTAGCATCATAGCAGAATATGCTGCTGCAGTTATCTCCAAGGAACCGCTCTCTGCAGTGACACAGGCAGCCATCAGCTTTGTGCAGTGACTGCAGATATCCAGGCAGAGCTTTCTGGTAATGTGCAGGAGGTGTGACGTTTCCTTACACTGTACCCATGTTGTTTGTTGATTGCTTTGCCCGTTTCCTTACAAGTGATTTCCAGGAGCCAATGTGGCAGTGCTGTGCCTTAAACTCAGAGTTGCAAGAGGTTGACCTGTAATGCCACTAATGGCTGCTGTGCACCTCAGTCACTTTGGACACACTGGGGAGTGTTGGTCAACTTCTGATGCCAGGGCAAAATATTGCTGAAAATGTAGAAGCTGAGAACTTGACAGGTGCTTCTTGACCTTTCTATGCATTTAATCATATCCTGGGTACCTTCAGCTGTGCTTGCATGCTGCAGCATTTGGCTGTCACGTGGGGGAAAGTTTGGGATTGTTTGATCTGGGGTCAGAAATCCATGTTTTACTTAATTTGGTTTTCTTGCTGTGCTCCAACTGCTTCATAGCTGTGCACTCTTCTCCTTCATGATCTCTCAGGAGAGAACACTGACACGGGCATAGAAAAGGTCAATCTGAAAGCTTGCCTGTCTCCCTTAGTTATACCTCGGTTTACGATTTTTCTGGCGCTTGGGTTTCATTACAAGCATCTTAGGCATTCTTAGACTGTATTTTGATTTGAATATTGCGCGGAAAATCTGTGTCGGTTTCACCAAAAACACAGAGAGACACACAGCTTCCCCCGCCCCGTCTAAAAATGGATTCAGCTTCTTTCAGATACCTTTTAGCAATGAACTTCATCCATGGTATTAAAGGTAGACTGCATGGATAACTGAGTTTAGAGGATGTGCAGGACCACATACCTTCCTCTGATCCTTGTTCTGTTACTATTACATCTCAATTGTGAATGTTGCATTCTTTTGTTCTGAATTTGAATTTCTGTAATAATTGTGGTTCACGAGTTTATTCTCCACACCAGTGAGATGTTGGTCGTTGTTTCTGTGTTGTTGTTGTTGTTTTTTTGTTACAAACTGCATTGTCTTATTTGAGGAATATGTTCACAAGTGAGAAAGAACTGCCTTTATTAACAAATGAAAAGCTTGCACTGTCAAAACTGAAATTGTTCTACCTTTTTATGTGCAAATTACAGCTACTGTCAAACCTTCAGCCGCAGTGCATTTAATTTGTGGAAATATAAAAATACCTAGCTTAATATTAAAATATTCTACATGAAGAAGGAAATATTTTTAAGAGATGTATTGCGTTCCGGACTCTCAGAAAAATAAAAAATAAAAAAAAATCAGATTTGAAAGAAATAAAATGGTACTTTAACTGAATTTATTTTTCTCTGCTTTCATGGGGAATCAGTGCAGTGCTTAAGGGTGTGTTTAAGTTATTCAAGTGTTTGTATATCTGTTTAGATCATGGCCATTGGAAATGAACCATGCTGAGTGTGTGTCCAGGGCATGGGAGCTATGTGCCCTGTATTTTTCTGTATGAAAGGGTCACAAATTGTTTTTTGTTGTTTATCTTTTTTTTTTTTTTTTTAATTAGTAGCAAAGGTACTGAGATTTTGATGCTAGAATCAGTAAACTTAGAATGAAATATAAAAGTAACTATTAGATAACTTTTGCAAGGTCTTTGAGGTAGAAGGTCACATTTGGATCATCTGAAGTTGGCACTGATTCTATATTTCGGCTTCCAAACAAAGCAACTTCTATTTACCCTGCAGCACCCACCTGATACATACCAGCAGCAAACTCCTTTCAGCTGAAAGTAGACTGTATGTTATCATAAGACAGTCACACACTGAACGTATGTCTGCCCGTTTCTTTCCCTTTGTTGTGGGATGAACAGCAGTCCTTCTGCCATTCTTGTTGCTGTCAGGAGAACCAGCAATGACCTGTCTCAGCCTGCAGTGCTGTACACCAGCTGCCAAATGTTCTTCAGAGTGGCCGGTGACTTCAGCTGCACTTTGACACGTGTGTTTTACCAGCATCCCTGCAGACTACTCCATGTTTACTTTCCCAGTTCTCCTGTGAGCAGGGAATTTTTGCCAAGGTGATTTGTAACAAGGGGTCCTGCTAAGAAAGGCTGTGTTGCCATCAGATATTCCAATATTTGGTTCTGTCTTAGGAGAGGTTTTAATGGTCCTGAGTCCATTTTTACCTTATTATTTCCAAGGCCTGAATCAGGGATATTTGTCTTTCTGCAGTCCTGAGAAGAGAGTAAGTGGCTACACTTTGAGGCATGGACTCATTCCCTGTGACCCATTTTGGGATTTCAGGGCAGTGCCTGCAGTTATCCTCTGAAACAGCCATCTGAGCAGTGCATTAGCATGCACGTGCCGGGGCTGCCATGTGCCTGGGAAACAGCAGCACAAGTGTTGCATGGTCACCTGGCCTCACCACGTGGTGTTGTCTTGACCACCCAATTCTGCATTAAAGGTAAAGAAAATAGTTCATCAGTTTTTTGTCAACCACCAGAAATTCTTTTTGGGTGACAAATTATTGTCTCCAGGGAATCAGAGCACCTGCACCCCCTACTGCTTTATGCCAGTGCTGTTGGCAATGCATAATTCTGGCATCCTCATTTATAAATCACTGATTTCATCTGGGCCATCTCTGCAGAGGAAATTCTACAAGCTGGATGCAGAGTGTATTAAATCTGAAGGTGCTTATTACTGGTATTAAGCCATTAGCCATAATTAAGAGCAATATAGCTCTTGACTCTGGGGGCTGTCCCAGGCTTTGTCCATATTCTCTTCCCATATCCATTCCTCAGCATGAAATATATGGTCTTCATATTCTGCCTCTCAACGTTAGAAACAAGCAAAGCGGTTTGAGTTGGGATCTCTTATTTCAGGCCATAAACATAAGATCTAGCCACCCCATAAAGTACATTCTTCCAGCTTACTGCTTTCCATGAGTGCTCAGGTACCTATAGCACATGGTGGAGACTGGGTCTGGTCCCTCCAACAGAGACAGTTACCCAACAAAGCCAGAAGTGATGCACAGTGCGAATTACTCAGGAGCTGAAGCTTCACACAAACCATTGAGTTATGTCTCTGTTTTGCAGTCACAACCTCCTTGATTTTTGCCAGGAGCCCATAAAACAATGGAGACTGTGATCTTCCCAAGACCCATTTCTTTGAAGAGGGTTCCAGGTTCTGGGTTCGTGGCCAGAGTAACAGAGGCAAAAGCAAGGTGCCAAGTACACTGGACTGCTAGACACCTCCCTGCTGACTTTTCCAACTTGGAAGACCTTTGGCCTCATGCGCTTGATGCTTTAATTGGGCAACGTGCAAGGTGGACATCTCTCTCTTGATTATTGTTATTATTACAGAATCAGACACTACTTATATAAGAATGTGCTGGGGATATACTATTTATACAGGATATATATATATACACAAAAATCCATTTTCTCCATGGCGATTGCAGATAATGTGGTAAGCCCAGCTTTGATTCACTAAAGTAGCAAAAGAGATATTCAGAATTATTTGGTATAATTCACAGCACTTCACAATGCATGTATTTTCATGATGTTCTAAATCCACTGCTTGCACCAGTAACTCAAGAATATTGGTTTGCAACAGCGTTGTTGTCTCAAAATTGCAGTACTGCCACCATTGTGACTGGCCAACCTGGAGGCACATTTAGCAAGGTATTTTTAGGGAGTGACTGCTGTGCACTGCTCTGGCTGTTTGCAGGCCCATTTTTGAGTATCTCTGATCGCCTCTTCTGCCAGACCCTGCCACCACAACAGACCCTGGCTCCACAGATGCCTGAGTAAAACCATAGCAGCCTGCCAGAGTGGAACAATTTTTCATCTACCCCCAGGCTGAGAGCATAATTTTCAAAGTGATGCTGGGGAAAAAAAAAAAATCTTCAGTTTGTTTCTGGGGTTGGAAAAAAACAAAACAAAACAAAACCATCTTGATTTCAAATCATTAATAATTCATTTAGGAAAATACTAGCTTTAATATAACTTTGAATGAAATTTTGCTGCTTTTTTTTTTTTTTTTTTTTTTTTTTTTTTTTTCTTTTCTGGTGAGGTGAAGGAGCAAACTTTTAGGATCAGTGAGGAATCACAGTATCTCCCCTCGCATTTTCACATTCACTCCCTCTTGCCTTATCAAGACTATCCTTCTAGCTTCACTGACCTGGGCATGACTTCCTCTAAGCCAGTGCTGGATGAGCCTCAAGAGACCTAGCACTCACATCCATGTAGACAGCCAGCCCCAGCCTGTGAAAACCTCTGGTTTTAAACACTGCTCTTTACGTTGAAGTTACTATGGGATAAAAAGAATTTTTGAGTCTCCGATTATATAATTTCAAAATGCTGTTTATTTTTTTTTACTCTTTTTAATCTAGAATAAGACTTTTGACAGGCCTTTATTTATTTTTTCCACCCAACCATTATATGTATGTAGATTTCGCCATCACCACACTTGAAGCAAAGCTTATACAAGACACCTTTGGCAACAGCAGCCTCTGATGCGTGAGGCCATCATGTGGAATTTTTATTTCCTTTCTTTCCCTATGTGCTCCTCTGCACTCTCTGATTTTATTGGGTACTGTGGTGTATTTGCATACCTCTGGAAATAGGTTGCATAATTCACATTTGCTGTTGACCTTTTTTTTTCTTGTAGTACCATGGATTAAACTCAAATTGCAGTCTGAAAGCCTTGATTTAGCTCTGCTGGGCCTCTTTTGCCTGTACCTGGCAAATGGAAGTGCCTTTTGTATGGGTTTTCAGCCGTTCCTGCCTCAAACCTGAAGTTGCACATTACTCATTTACCCAGTTAATTCTCTCTAATCAGTTCGATTCCTTTAAATCACTACCTGAAAAACATTCATAGCAATTATCAGACTGACTTGTTTAATGAAGGAAAGCTGCTTTCATTGCTCAGAATCACGTATGTATATGTTTGCTTCTCAGTCTAAACATTTGAGAAATTTGGAAACATTTTGGATGTGGCCAATGAATGCATTTAATGCTGAACAAGATTTCACACCTCAGGGCTCTGTATTTATAGCTCTGTCATGTTCTTTTCTTGTACTGTGCTGAAGAAGAGGACTTTTATTTTCTATTCTGATGAAAAGTTGTCTGTCACGGTGTGGTTATTGCCGAACAAAATACTGCCCAAAATTTGACCCTGAACAAATTTTGCACGAGGACAGTTTACCCCAGTATTTGAAAGGAAATGCAAGCCTTCTCCTTCTAGCCAAAGGAGTAAGCTTTTTGGGTGGGTAAAATAGGAGAAACTCTTAAAATCCTTTGTGGAGCCACAGATTTAAATGGACTCAGCTGAACCGTTTTTCTCCTGCAGTCACTCTCCCAAATTCAGTCATGCTAACATAGCTTTTCACCAAGATGAGATTCAGAAATAGGAAAAAAAAAAAAGTGTACTAATCATTGTGTTGCTGAAAAAAAAAAATAGAAGTATTTTTGCTTTATCAAATGATGCTGTGCTAAAACCCTACCCATAGCTTTGGCACTCAAAGAAGGGACTCATAGCGATGTCAGTGGGCATCACACTGCACAGGGAACCTAATACAGGATCTCCTGTTTCTATCTCATTATAATGATACTAACTCTTTCTGTCCCACACCCTTGCAGATGCAGAGTTGATCCACCTCCTGTGCATTCAGCAGTAATGCAGACAACCTGGGACAGGCATTCAGCTTCAGCAGTTAGGGAGGAGAAGAAGGGAACAGCTTGGCACAGTCAGAGCTCTTAAATACTATCAGCTTTTTTTATTTAAGAAGCCAATGGCTACATAAAAGTAAATAAACATTTACAGTGCTCTTTTCACCAGCGTTGAATAGATCACAGCATGATCTCTATTTTCCCAGCTGTCTTTCCAAAAGTTTGATTGCCTTACTGTATTCTACCTAGTCTGGACTCTTACTGCCCTTACTGTAATTGTTTGTGCTCAGTGACTGTTGCCAACCAAAAATGTGAATAATTTATAATGAATTAGTACCTTGAAAAATTTCACATCCCTTTCCATTCGCATTGTTCATGAGCAGACTGTGAATTTTCTTTTCCATTATTCATAATTACTCCCAAAATCATTTGCGGAGCAAAGATAATTTTTTCCCCCTACGTAGATAGTTCAAAGGTAAAACAGTATTTGCACTGTAGACAAAAGATGTGCTCCACACATGTGCTGGTTGCGTGACAGTACTTTTTTCCCTGATTGAATGAATATGACTAATGAAAGATCCTTCATTCAAGAAAAATTACCTTCTAGTT